ATATAGATAATAAAGCCAACTGCAGCTACTTATTTTAATATTTATCGATTAATTATACTCTACCAATAATTATTGTTTTTATTTTTTTTTTTTTTTTTTATTTTTCTCAAAAGTAAAGCACAAAGAAGAAGAAAAAAAAAACAAAACAAAGAAACATTAAGCAAAAGATTAAATTATTCTATTAAATAAAACTCACATATTGTGAGCAAACTGATGTTAATTAATTAATTTAATATTTCAATAATAATAAAGCTGTAGAAGGGGCGGGAGGGGGGCGGGCATTCGATGTATTAATGTAAACTTAGAATTAAATTCGTGATAAGCAAAATTATTTGCAAACGAAGTCCCTAAAAAGTCTTCTTTTATTTTGTTTTATTTATTTATTTTTTTTTTTTCTGTATCTAAATCTATACTAAGTTCTAGACGTAAATTTCATTGCAATTAAATAACACAACTATCTTCAAATTTTATTAGTTACATTTTGCAAGCTGTATTAATAAAGTATTTAATAATAATAATAAGAAGAAGAAATATTTCAAAAACCGATTAATAAATATTGTCACACACGAATGAAGTATAAAAAAAGGGAAATAGTACATAGCAAAAGTCGGCAGCCAGTTAACAGGCAATGCCTGATATATATATTATATTTAACGCATATTAGGTATATATATATATATGTGTGTGTGTGTAAAATTGCAAAAAATTAAAATGACAAGCCAGAGATTTTATAATCGATATAATAAAAAATATAACATGCACATTATTAACATTTACTGCGATATATATATGTATATCGATATATAAGGAGGAAATTTACACAGCAGGCTTTAATAAATGGTAATCAAAAGGAAAGAAAATGGAGCTTGGTAAAGATAACTTTTGATATATAAATATATTATATATATATATATTTCTCAAAGTATTAAAAATGTTCTAAAACAATGTTTTCTAAATACAATGACAATAATGAACGATACATTTAATGATGAGAAAGTTTTTAATTAATAAAAAGCTTTTCGTTAATGACCATTTTTTACTACGCGAGTAAATAAAACGAAACGAAACGAAAAAAGAAAAAAAAAAAAATAATGAAACCACCGCGAAGCACGTTATTTATTTATTATTATTATTATTATTATTATTATTATTATTATTACTTTATTTGTGATAATAGTAAAAAAAAAAAAAAATAAAAAAAAAAAAAAAAAAAAAAGAAAAAACAATGAATTATCTTAACCGAGCTCCTTTTATCAAATTACAAACAATATTTGAATGATTAATTAATTTTATGCTATTCATCTTTCTTTACATTATGTACACTGATGTTATTGTTATTAATTTAGTTAAACGCTAGATTTGTTTAGTTTTATTAGCCATTCCATAATTTTTTTTTGATGCTTCTTCGATATTACATTACGTTGTTATACGTTCTTAATAACAGAGTGTGCTAAATGGGATTTATTAATGTTGTTATACATTTGATAAACTTTCAAATACTTTTTCATAAGACTATCTGAAAATAGTGTAAACATTTTCAGCTGATGCAATTGGTTAAATATAAATTATAAAATATATATGCAACTATTAATATAATAGATAAATACAATATACAATCGTACCTGTTTTTTTTTTCTTTTCTTTTCTTTTCTTTTTTTTTTATATATATATATCATGCCATCATTTTATTTATGTAGTAGTATTTATGCAATAAATTATTATTATTATTATTATTTTATTAATATGTGAGATAAATCAAATTAAATTTAAAAAAAAAAAAATTACACTCGATGTAGTCATTTTAAACATTGTACTAATATAAATTAAGCTTGTCAATCCTTGTTCTTGTTCTCTCTCTCTCTCTCTCTCTCTCTCTCTCTCTCTCTCTTTCTCTTTCTCTCTCTCTGGCCACTTTTGCAATGTACAATTAAATTACGAAATTATTTAGATTAGGAATATTATTTCTCTGTGTGTAAATTGAAAACAATTATATTCCGATATTTAAAAAAAAGAATAAGATTCATTTTAACAAGCGGATTTCTCCAAGTAAATCTTTTAAAAAATACAATAGAATGTTGTATCGTTACAGAAACTTTGCACCTAGTTTTATATATATATATATATATATAAATATATATATACTTATGTATATATGTAACATATAACAAGTAAGTCGTTCGGATTAGTTTATCAAAATTATTCTTGTCCTTAATAAAAGCGACGTGATTATTATTATTATTATTATTATTATTATTATTATTATTATTATTATTATTATTATTATTATTAATATATTAATAATATGAGTTACATTCGAGGTAACTTTTTTATTATTATTATTTTTTTTTTTTTTTAATTTCCATTAAATACGAAGAACGACTTTAAACGAGTATAAACAAAATTAATAATCGTTTGCTATTATACAAATTCAAATAATGTACATAAGCATATATTCTGTATAAGGTTCTCTCTTTCTTTCTTTCTTTCTTTCTTTCTTTCTTTCTTTTTTTAAATTTTTTATCTTGGTATATTTTTTCTTTTTTTTTTTTATTAATTATTATTTTTATCTTCTTTTTAAGTTAATTTCAATATATATATATATACATACATGTATATATGTATATATGTATCGTTAAGCAAAAGAGACTTGCTCAAATTATTCTCTCACTCTCATTCTCTCTCTCTCTCTCTCTCTCTCTCTCTCTCTCTCTCTCTCTCTCTCTCTCTCTCTCTCTCATTCGTCATCATTATAGGCTTCGTTTATTTGAAACTAGACTTTTTTTTTATACTGTGATATTGATATTATATCGAAACATGATACACAACTATAAATAACATTATTTTCATTTATCTTTGGATATAGAATCACATAAGAAGACACTTTTAATTAATTTTACAAGAAATTTTATAAACATGTGGGGCTTCGAATATTATTGAAATAAATTAATTATACGATGTTACACACAAATAAATAACATTCGATGGACGAAATAATTTTCAAGTTATGACGAACAACAAATTGATCAGAAATTGGGTGAGAGGAGTACGGATAGGAGATAAAAGAAAGAAGATAAAAAAAAAAGAACCCAAAATTATTGTTATTGTTGTTAAAATTGTTACCGCATTTGCATTAATCTAATAAGAAAAAATAAAGTATCCCTAATCTAGTCTCTCATGTTTGTTTCTTGTAAAAATTGGATATTTTTTACGTAAAAGTTTCGAACGACTTGTGTTTTTCTTTTTTTTTTTTATTATTATTATTATTAATATTATTATTTTATTATTATTATTAGTAATATTATTATTATTATTTTTATTATTATTAATATTATTATTATATAATGTCGCCAAGTTAATGTGATGTTATTTTATATAATGACGGCTGTGGAAAGTTAAATAAATAATAACGACAGGATTACACGATTATTAATTAGAGATATTAATGTACAATAATAATTAGCGATTAATTTTAATTTTAATCAATAAGACCTATTAATTGAATTATTTTTTGCAATAATGTGTGTGTCTATTGTTGTTGTTGTTGTTGTTGTTGTTGCTGCTGCTTCTGCTGTTTGCTTGAAAGGTTCTATACAAATGATACTTCTTTTTTATGCATTTAAATACACATAAAATGCGAGAGTTTCGATTTTTCAAGCTTACCCCAATTACGTATGGTATATAGATATATATACATAAATGTATACATGTATATATGTAGTATGTATGGGATGTATGTAATATGTGTATGTATATTAATATAGGTAACTTGCTTTCGTTTTTATAACACGCATTAATAAATACGTGCATCTGCTGTGGTATCCGTTCATATTATATTAAATATTCAGTCGACGTGTTTTTTTTTTCTTTTTTTAAAGTTACATACGTATTGGCTAGTATTGTGCAATCATATCTTTCTTCAGTAAAAAAAAAAAAAAAAAAAATCAGTATAGGGTGAAATATGAAAAGCGATCACTAAATGTGAATAATAAGTAGTTGTGTTTTATATACGCTGCAGTAGTACACAGAACGATTGTGTTTTTTAAATGCGTCAGATATTCTCTTTTATTTTTTTTTTTTCTTGTTGTGTTGTTATATATATATATATATATATTTTTATGAAAGTTTAAACAAATGTATTGCGCGATGAAACAAAACTCTTCTTTCTAAAACACATATCGTAAAATGTTGATCTTTTTTTAGCAAAGCAAACAACGAAGTTGGCTCCTCGTTTTAAATACCCATGTCCATTTATTGATTTAGTTTTCTTTTTATTTTGTTAAGTATTTTTTTTTCTTTTTTCTTTTTTTAATATTTTTATTTTTATATTTTTTTATTTTTATTCATTATTAATTTTGTCAGCGAGTCTCCCTATAATAATAATTTATTTTTTTAATGACATATAAACGTAACAGGTAAATCACGTCCGATAAATTTCATTTAATATATATATATATATATATATATATACTATAATATTCTGCTGTAAAAGCCTTAACATATTGGTATGAGAACGTAATATTTTATTGTCTCTTGAAACTACGAAAAGAAATCATATTTTGAGATTACAAAATTCATTTTAAAAGATGTACCGCCGCCTGCCTTTCTATAGAATTTCTTGTTATTAAAACTTTTCGTTTAAAACTCTCATATAATCATCGCTGAGAAAAAAAGAAAACTTCACATCATTTCGCATTTTTTTTTTGTTTCTTGTGTAATCATAGCGATATTTAACGGTATATATCATATATATATATTATAGTTTTGTTGTTGTTGTTGTTGGTGGTTATGATGGTGGTGGGTTGTTGTTGATGTTGTTGTTGTTGTGTAGGTATAATAAATTCCACATGTTCTATTTGCAATTTGTATATATATATATATACTTACACGGTGGCATTATCCAGTGCAATAGATTGACTGTTGATCTCGTTCCCATGATTATTCGTATGGTGACCATTAAGTCCTCCCTCGACGTTACCCTGATTATTATCCAATACTATTTTATTTTCATTAATTCCGTTACTGTGCGTGCCATTATGAACGATAGCTGGCGCAGTAGTAACGTTTTCTACATGATGAGCTCGTTGCTCAACACTTAAAAATTGCTGAGTAGCTTCTGATATTAAACTTGCTGTCATAACGTCTTCGTTTTTACTACCGGGAACAGATTTATTTTCATCGCTAGGACTGTCTTCTTTTAATTTATCACCGTCTCCACCCTCGCCCTGTTATTTCGAACAAACGTAAACAACGGTCGCGATCAATAATCATCATTTTTTCCAACATTGTAAGATTGTTTTATACGAAAGATTATTTTCAAAAAGATAATATAATAATTAACCCTTTCGTTACTACGGGCGACTATAGTCGCTCTACATAAAATGCTACTCTCATACGACGGGCGGCTATAGTCGCGGTGCATAAAATGCCGCGTATTGTACATTGTATAATATATATATATGACGAACGATTAAGTTAATATGTTTAAATGTTATAAATATTTTAATTTATGGAGTATTTTTTTTTCAATAAACACCGTCAAACCAATTTGGATTGGTTGCCGTGAAGCATAGATGCAAACTTTTGGCGCGGCAGCACGTTCAGCGAAAGTACTACGACGGAGAAGTCGCCCGTCGCGAAAGGGTTAAATAAAAATTAAAAAAAAAAAAAGATTTTTATTTATGAAACCTGTTTATATACCTTTGTCGATGTATTTGATTGATTCTTTCCACGTGTTCGGAGCATAATCGCTTCAACGCGTTTACGTCGTGCAATTCTTTCCTCTTCTTCTTTCTTCAAACGTTCGGCCATTTCGATTCGTTGTCTGAAAATAAAACACGAAGATAAATTATTATTTTTTTTTTTTAAATGTTTCTTTAGTATTATTAAAGAATATTCCACAATGTTTGTCATACATTTCACAAATTTATTTCGCGAAACACGTAATATATATTTAATTATAGTAATTATTTATTTTCTAACCTTTCAACTTCTTCTCTCGCTTTCTTTTCAGCCTCTTCCTTTTCTTGTTTCTGACGAGCTTCTTCCTCTCGTCTTCTTCGATCCTCCTCCTCACGACGTTTCGCTTCCTCGATTGCTAATTTTAATCTCTGTTCTTCGGCCTGTCTTGCTTCATTCGCCAAACGCAATGTTTCCTCTTCTAAACGTCGTTGTTCTTCCTCTTCGGCACGTAATTTTTCAGCTTCCAAACGGGCTTCCTCTTCCTACAAAAAATAATACAAAGAAAATAATAATAAATTAATACTATTTTATTTCAATGAATTTGTAAACAAAATAAAAAATCAAATATTCTATGAAGATTACACACTGGGTGTGTGTTAACAACAAGCGTATCACTAATTCATTTTATACGATTTCAAAATATATTAGATTAAATTCTTACAAATTTGATAAAACACTGAGTTACAAATTTTCTATAAAAAAAAAAAAAAATATTTATCTAATTGTTTATATTCATCTCACTACTAAATTTTTCCTTTTATTTTTTAATGAAAAAAAAAATATCACGTACCAATCGTAAACGTTCCAGTTCGGCTTCCCTTTCCGCTTGTTCTCGAGCTAATCTTCTGCGTTCAGCCAATGCAGCTTTAGCTTCTTCTTCCGTTGTGATTCTAATTTTTGCAATCATTGAAGCTAAAAATAAACAAAATAAGATTTACACATATTAATTAATTTGTAGTTTTTTTTTAATTAATGTTTTATCTATATAACGAGTTTGATCAGTTTATTAAACTTACCAGACATGTCAATTTGTTCTTCGTTATCTGTTTCGGTTTCAGCTTCCTGTTCAATCGGCAATTTCTTTTCTACTTTCTCCACTTTATTATTATCATCTTTTTTCAATGAGGATTCTTGAGAGGATAACGTTTCTTGCATGAAATTACTATCGTCCTTGGCTTGTTTCATAGCGGCTACTGGTACAGGTTGTTCAACTATCGGACCATCACCATTTTTAACTTCGTTCTTAATTTCATTCTTAATTTCATTCTTTATTTCATTTTTAATTTCATTTTTAATTTCATTTTTCTCTTCAACAACTAATTCCGCTTCTTCTATGTCCTGAAATATTATATACACGTCCAATAATCAAATAATGTTCGCATACTTGCCTTTGTATATTAAACCAATAAACAATTTACAGGTTTTAGTGACTCTAATAAGTTCATAGTTTTTTTTAGGGGGGAGGGGCCATTTTTTTTTTTAAAAAGAAAAAGACTTACGCAAAAGTAAGAAAACTTTGTTACCTGTGCTTTTTCCGAACCGTGATCCTTCTTTTCCTCGTTTCTTTCTTCCGATTTGCCATTTTTATCATCATGATGCTGTTCATGTTCAATTATTTCAGTGGCCTCGCGAATGAGTGGCGAATGCTCGACACCTGGACTTTGCAAAGGCGTAGCTTTTGAAGTTATCCGTGGCGACGCCTTTGAATTCTTTGTTAATTTTTCCGTAGGTTTCTTGACCTCACTTGTTTTAGGCGTAGAAGGTTTCTTTGGAGTACTGTGGACCTTTGGCAGTGGTGGCTTTGAATCCTTTGTTAATTTTGCGTCACCTGAGATATCTATGAAGAATATTCACAAAATATTTTTATTATATATAATTTTTTTCTATTAAAAAAAAAAAAAAAAACTAAACATTTAAAAATACACTAAACTTATACAGGAAACAAGATATTTACACATGTGCAATCTGAAAACAATTATAAGCAAACGAATATGATGAAAGCGAATTTGAACTAAAAAAAAAATATAGATATGAAAAAAAAAAATTATAAATAAAAAATTGAAGAAGAAGAAGAAGAAGAAAAAAAGAAAATTAAAAAAAAAAAACAAAAACGAACAAATTAAAACGTAAAACGCTTGGCGTGTCATCATCATCAGAGTGCGATCGACGTATATGTACATATTATTGTTATACCCGTATTTCAATTTTAGTAATAATTCCCTAGATTTATTTAAACACTATCCAACTATTTTTCAATTTGTGTGTAATTTGTGTGTAAATAAGAAGATCGTTATATTAGCCAAAGAAGGTTTTTCCATTTATTCTCATTGTCATCTCGCTCGCGTGGAAATATTGCAAGTGGTGGTAAATCACCCCACCTCATTCATAAAAAAAAGAAAATATAATAGGGAATAGTAAATAGAAAAGAATAATAATCCTCTTTATTTTTTATTTAAATAATTCCCCTTTATTTATTATTTTAATTAAAAGAAATTTATTATATATATATATATATATATATATATATATGTTACTATATATATAACATATATTAAATATTAATATTAAATAATATTAATTAAAAAAAAACAATAAAAATAAATATTTTAATATTTTTAATCTCATCATTTGTTTTCAGTGATCCTTGCCAAAATATTAGCAAAAATGGTGTATGGGTGGTGGGAGGGGGGGGGGATAGGCGGGAATTTTTTCATAGACGGCGTACGATTAGAAACGCGAGCGAGAAGAGTTAAAGAATAAATGGGAAACAAAATGAAGACCAAAAAAAAAAGGGTAAGACGTGTTACAAAAAATATTGTTTGGTGCTCACTGTGTCGCTCTGTGACCGAAACGCCGGTACCAGCGATAGAAGCAGGTCGCGGTCGACGCGGAGCAGAAGTACGAGGACGTAGATTGACGTTACTGCTACAAACGCTGCTGGCACTTTGCTGGCTCATGGAGCTGTGGGGTCGTGATGGGCTGTTCGGCGTCACCTCCCCGCTGCGGATACCTACGCGTATTACCCACCCATCATCAACATCTCTGACTGACGTATGTTTGTATTGTATTGTTTGCAGGTATGTATGTATCATTACGCGATTGAAATCTTTCATTTGTTTATCAGGTGTTATCAGAAAAATGATCGTTTTATGTATATACATGTTGAAGGGGTTCAATGTACAGAATCCTGAGTCCTTCAATGAGATTGGGTGATGTTCATTTTGAACAGGTCTTTTGTACATCGTCTGGTCAATCTTTAGAATCACCAAGAAGTTTTGATCAATTTGGGATATATGCTTCAGTTGGTTGGCTATGTTTAAAACAAGAAATTTGCTAATTTTTATACAACGTTGACGTTGGTAAGATATTTTGATCTTTCACCAAGTTTTCTTAGGGTTTCTTGAGTGTTGTAGCAATTGAAACGATTATTTATAGCTCACAGCAGGTGAAAGGAGTTGCAACAGGATTGTTTAGGATAGTTTGTAGAAATTTTTATACATTTCTATACTTTCTTTTATTTATGAGAAAACCTTAAATAACTTTGTTTTGTTACTCCCCATGTGACCTAAACAACTGAAACATGTACCCTAAATTGTTCAAAATTCTTTGAGTATTCTAAAGATCGATTGTAGTATATTTTTATCATAAAAATTGATTATAAAAAATTAATACGGTCATTTTTCTGAATAAAATTGTATACATTATTTAATTTCATCATATATCTATATATTTATATACGGTTTTTAACCTTATTATCTTTAAACAAACAGGCCATTCTTAATTTCTTTTCAATATTAACTTTTCTCCAATCTATCAAAAAAAAAAAAAAAAAAAAAAAAGTTTTCTCTCTTGCTAGTTCGTTTTATTATTTTTTATTTTTTTTTTACATACTACTCTCCATGGCCTGGTTTTTAAAGTACGATGATGGTTAATACCATGAACGATCGTTCAATAAAAAGTTATAAAACGGTTTGAAAAAAAAAAAAAGGTTTCAACAAACGAGATGACCACTTTTGTTT